GAGAGAGAGAGAGAGAGAGAGAGAGAGAGAGAGAGAGAGAGAGAGAGAGAGAGAGAGAGAGATCTTTACCTGTACATGTAATTCACCATCATTCCAGCACTCATTCGCAGCCCCTTCTCTGAGGTGTCAGCCATCCAATTAAGCCGCTCCAGACTCTGCATACCAGGAAAAGAAGTACAGGCAGGTCGGGGTCGGGACTTCGAGGAGAAAGAATGAACACAAGTCCTCTGTTAGGGTTGCCAATGTTAATTAGAGCTAATTAGGGTGTGATGTTAATTAGTGTTAAGTAAGGTGTGACTCAGCCGAGGCCGGAACTTGGAGGAGATAGAATGAACACAAGTCCTCTGCAAGCTGTTGGCAAGAGACACTCAGCCGCTCCACAGAAGTTTGTCGATCACGTAATCTATCCACAAGTTCCACGACCAATTTTGGATCGCCTGTGTCACTTGGTTAGGAGGGGACAGAGAACTTCATTTTTGGATCACGTAGTCCACAGCCATTTTTGGACCAGGTGCTTCACAACCAAATTTGTTTCTGTCTACCTTTCCCAGACAGTAATTTGGCGACCCCTGAGTGGTTGTGGGTTGGAGGTCTTGCGACCCCGGAATCTGCAAGAAGTGAGATTGGATAGCGATTTTCTACAGGGGAGGGGCTCTCCACTCCAAGAAGTGAGATTGGAGGCCTTGCGACCCCTGAATCTGCAACTCTCAAACATTGTATTTTTGCCTTGGGCACTGGGCCCTATTAAAAAAAAAAAAACAGAGTAAGAAAAAAGAAGAAAGAAAAAAAAAAAGGAACGTTTCTCCTTCTTTTTTGGGAAAAGGTTCCGGAAAACAAAGGAGAGGACAAACGCCTTGAGCTTGAGATATCATCATTGAACTGACTGGCCCATTGAAAGACAACAAAGGTAATTGAACCGTAATTCACAAGTATTATCGATATGTAATATGTATGGAGAATCGGAGAGCAAGAGGGAGACCGAAAAACAAAGGTAATCTACGAAGTTACTAACTGAGTCTAATAATGACTCTAATTCACAATTATTATTATTCTGTTCATCGGGTTGCATCTGGAATTGAACTTGCGTCTGACTTTCAATCGTTCATTGGGTGTAGACAAACTGAGGAGAGCTGGTGAAAAAGCGACTAGGGGTCACTCGGGTTGGGACGGGAATTTTGGGGTCTGACCCATTGATCCACAACCATTTGTGGACCATGTGATCCATTTTTTGTGGTGGACCAGGGGTCACTCGGGTCGGGACGGGAATTTTGGCGATGATGGAACAGCGGATCTAGTCACTTTTTCACCAGCTCTCCTCGTCCGGCTAGATGGGGAGACTTGTGGTCGAATAATGTGGGTTTGTAGGGTATCCTGATGGTTACTTTGCCAAGCAACAGGGGACATATGTATAGAAAAGTGGGGTCTGTGTGGGGAGGGGTGGGGGGGGAGAATTTTCTGGATGATATGGAGACAAGGGAATGAGAAGGTCGGATCAGACGAGGCCACCAGCTCGCAAAGGCCGATAAAGAAATGGGCAATGGGCAAACACCTTAGGCATAGGGCATACACTCGGTCAGACTTGATGACATTGAAGTTGAATGAACATTCGGCGTAACCCATCAGAGCTTAGAATGACAAAAACATCGTGGTTCGTTTGGCTTTATGTTCAGGGATGCTGGATCGGAAACCCAGCAGACAACAGAGGCTCATGCAGTTTGACTCTTCTAGTCTGAGTACTACTAGTACTACACGGTGTAGACCTGGCGCCCAAATTTTGGGTGAAGAGGTGCTACTGGCGGACACAAACACTCAAGATTTGTCCCAACTTATC